CTCTCTCTCTCTCTCTCTCTCTCCGAATATGAATAGAGTAGCGGGGGCGGTCGTGTCTCTCGAGAAAGGTCAATTATGGACAAGAAATCTCACCCCGTGTGTTCGAGGGTGATAATTCTTTTATCAATGGGGCCTGGAAGTAGACGCAGTTGTGTTGATATCATCAGCAAACGTATCTGAGGGCATTAGAGGCCCGGCTTTAGGAGAAGCTTGTCCGTGGATGACACAACATGGCGGTGAGTGCACTGTGCTTTAGCCAATTTTTTTGTCATTGTAGTAATACAATAATTTGTATTTGTTAACCGCTCCTTTCAACGCTGAAAGGCTTCTTAAGTGTCGGGTTCTTTTTCACATACGGTGTTAAGTTCGTTTCCGATAGATAGGACTCTACCACGCGGGAGAAGAGGAAAACCCTTGAAAACTCCCCCAAGCAACTCAAGTTATTGAACGTCCCACTGGGGATTCAAACCAAGGTTATCCACACCCTAACCGAGCATGATACCTACGTAGCAAACAGCATTTCCATGCTGAGATTTCTTCTCTCTCCTTAAAATAGTTCAAACTATATCACAAAACCAGAACACAAGAGATACCGTTGCGAACCGGTACCGGTAATTGTTCTTCTACCTAGGCTAGATCTCTGGCTGAGTGGCAGAACATCTACATGCAGGGACTGCTGCCCAGAATTAAAATTAGATTCTACCTTTATAAATCAAAAACTTAAAATCGCTTCCTAGACGCTGTAGCGTTAGTAGTCTGGTTGTTAGACTGTTAGACTCGCAACTGAAAAGTCATGGGTTCGAACACCGTCAGGAGCCCGACTTTGGATCCTTAGAGTTAGAGTATAAATCTACCTCACATCACCCAGGTTGGAATGGTTTCCCGGCTTCAAGCAGCAAAGGATTATGTCAATTTGTTAGTGTTTGAGCGCTCAATCAGCAGCTTTCACGGTATGTTTCCCGAGAAGCCGAGAATCTTACTGGATGTTCTAGGGACTGCTGGGGTAATAGTAATAGTACATATTGTTAAGTGCATAGAGCTTTCTGTTGAGCTGGGAGATGCGCTATACAAATGCTATGTATTATAATTATCTATATTGTGTCGATGGTAGAGTGAAAAATTGATATTTGAACTTTGTTATCTTGAGAATTTCAATGTAAGGACACAGATCATGTCAACGGACACACGAGAGCGAGAGTGCCCCAAACAGGTTAAATTTAATATTATATTATACAACCTCTGTAGAGTGGGGTGGGACATTGCCAGAGAGACGATCTCGAGCTCACGATCTGTGCAGGTTTTTTGTTTGTTTGTTTGTTTGTTTGTTTTGATTTGGGTTAGGTTTTGTTTGTTTTGTTATCGCATCAGACTGTTTTCAACTTATTAGATATGATACGGTTAATATTGAACTCTATCACTATCTGACGACGCTGACTTCTGGCCCACAGTACACGTACTTTGTGTATTCACAAATGTTTTACCCGTGTTCGAGTGGTCCTCGTTTCACCACAGTTATTAATATCTCAAGTAGATTTATATGAATATCTAGTCAAAGTTGATTTTTTCTTTTGTTATCTCTCTACTCAAACTCAGCACGAACTGATTCCTCGTGAAGTAGCTCGTAAAACTTCATAAACCCCATCCAGCC